GTCTGCAGGGCTTTGTGTGATGGCTGCAGCCATCCCTGGGTAGGGGCAGCTTTGAGTCTAAACAAGCAGGCGAATTAGCAGTACCTGGGAATTTTTGCAGCATTACGCTGTGTTACTCAAAGCTTTTTGGCAACAGCGCCATGTAACAACAACAAAAATTGCACCAAAAAACCCCAATGAACAAGAAATATCTATTGAATGTATCTTCTTCCTGGAAATCTCACCGCAGCGCACGCCTTCAGGCACCATCAGATGTTAACAGCCATGCAGCCAAAGCAGGCTTTAATATTTGGTGGCTTTGGAAAGCATCAGAAAATGGGGAAGTTTGAGGCAGGTTTTCCAGAAATGAGCAGTGAAAGCAGAGTGGAACAGCAGAAACAAACCCAGCAAATTTCTGCCTGAGGAATGCGTCTGAGAGCACAGAAATGGAACGAATCTCTCGGTGTTTTTCTGCCATCGCTCTGCAGATTGACTCCTCTCTGGGGTTTGTTCTGTGATGGATTTGGGCGACTAAGATTGATGGCCATAGAAGAGCTGGTACTGATGGCACATTTGTAAGGCTCAGTGAAAATGGTGAGCCTGGCAGGTACTGGGGGAGCTTTACATCATTTTTTTTTAGTATTGCTGTCCACGGCCTGGAACTGGACTGTTCTGAAGACAAGTGAGAAGGGCAGCCAGCAGCCAACGCAGTGTTGCTCTTACAGTCCTGATCCATTAATTTGTGAAACGTGGGCTTGTTGTTGGGCCATGCGCTTCAGGGAAAGGTGAGCTCTGAGCTTTGTGTTCAGTAAAATCAGCATTATTTCTGTGTCTGATGTTGAGCTTGCAGAAGCAGAGTGCTGCCCATCAGAGTCATGGAGCTTTCCCCATTTATCCTAGGGGAGGCTCAGCTTGCAGATTGTCTTTGGGGCTGAGAGTTGGGGGAAGGGTGGGAAAACCCAGGAAATCAACTTCCAGACATAAATACAATATGGACAAGTCATAAACATTATTAAAGCAAGTCTATCCCTGCAGGGCAGGTTTTTCTTCATAATGCTTTCCTGATTACGCTTCCGCAAAGCTGGGGAAGTGAATAGTGGGCTGATTATCCATGGACCACGATCTACATCAGTGCAAAACTGTTTCCATTGTATGTGAGAAGAGAACTTTGCATATTTACTGGAAGGGAATAGCCATCCTGCTTCTTATTCTGTCTTCAGATTCACAGTGGGCCTGATCCAAAACATAACTATGTCAATGGGATTCTTTGTTTGGGCTCTTCTTATGTTCCACATTACCATTGCAAAACCTGCCCTGTTTATCATCTTAAATATACATGCCATAAATAGACCCAGTATTGACACAGTTTGTGATCAAACCCCAAACTGATCCATCAAACACTTTGGAAGTAGGCTGATCACTGTACAGGCAATGGGAAATTGTTCCAAATATCCAACATAAGTGGGGACAAACCAAACAAACCCAAACCAAAAAGGGCTGACAGTGAGATAGTAACAGAACGGTCTCTAATTGCTAAAAAGCCAACAATAAAAAACCAGCCTTGAGAGAAATCCAGGTCATTTGACATAGTGTTTTCTTGGGCAGCTCCAGTCGTGATGCTCACTTGAAGTACCTGGAGTGCCTTTGTTAAGTTTCCATGTGCAGGATGGCAATGCTTGTTATAAGAGTCTGAATCTGCTCCTTGGACAATAGCCACGAAGCATCAGGCAAAGATTTGTGTTAGCATCTGTATCACATAAAGGGCTGCTTATCCTCAGTGCGCTCAGAGCAGTAGAACGCTTCCATACAAGTGCACAAGGTGCATTGCTTTCTTTATTCGATGACAGAATTCTTCCCAACATCTTAATTAGCATTCACTTGCAATGTAATTCTGGTGCTGCAACAATTTGTACTGGAATTCTGATGGATATGTTCCAGCATTTTTCCCCCCACTATCACATTTCATATCTCTCTCCTGTAAACTTTAGTACAAAGTGAAAGTCCTCTTATGCAATCTAAGTGTAATGCATCTGGGTATTGGTTATCAGACAAAGCAGGTCAGACAGATCTCTCTTTGCAGAAATAAAAGAAGTAGCCAACATAAAGCGGTGTAAATAGGAATTTCTGAAAGATATGCAATAGAGTCAGGGCATGACTAAGGGTTCTCAGAAAGCTGAAGGCTCCATTTTGATATCAGAAATCCAAAGTATCTTTTCTGATTTTTGTTAGCATAGCTAAGAATAAAAAACTCTCATTTCCAAATAGAGGTTTAATGCTAAGTGACACTTTGCATAATCTGCTTAGAGGGTCACTCTGTGCTCCTACAGTCCGTGCTGTGGTTCAGAAACACCAGCCCTTGTGCAACGAAACAGAGATTCCATGCAGTTACACAGAGCAACGAAGGGCATCTCAGAGATGGGCACTCCTGAAGGGCTGTTGGTTCAGGTGTTTGTCATGAAAGTCTAACACTGAGAAAGCAAATGACAGCCATCAGTGGTCAAGATAAAGCATTCGGTTGTCAGTTCCTACAAAGCATGTGGAAAGCTCTTGGTTTGCTGGAGGAGGAAACTGTTGGGGTGCCCCCAGAGTGCTGAGAGCAGTGCCTGAGACTGCAGGGTGCGTGGACATGGAAGGTTGGGGCTTGGCTTCAATGCAACTGCTTTGCTCCTTACTGGTTGAACAACATGTGAACTGCAGAGCACGTTCCTTGTGTTTGCTGCAGTGTCCTGATGAGTTACGTATTGACAGTGCTGTTTCTGATGATCTGGTGTGTTGTTCTGCTATCCCTTCAGTGTGTCATTCTGTGACAATTTTCTGCCCAATCGCAGAATCGCCTTTCCTACCTTTGTCTGCATTCTCTCTCTTCTGTTACATCTTTGCTGCGTTGTATCTTATTGCATCCTGTCCTGTCTGCTGCGCAATTCAGTAGGACTTAGGAAGGCAGCAGTTCCAAACCCTGCTAGCTCACCCCAGCTCTGTCCTGGAAAGCCCCCTGCGCTGACAATGAGACATAGATCAGCCTTTCTTCCCATTCTGCCCTTGGCTTCTTTGGTAAGATGGCTAAGATGGATGCTTACTGTGATAATGGTGCTGACATTCGCTCACCAGGAATTGGAGAGAGACCATAATTTCATGTCATATAGGTCTCCAGTAACAATCAAACGCTAATGAGTGCCAGGCCATTAAAGGCCTGGCGTGCACTCCAGTAGTGTCCCACACTCAGTGTCCTCAGCCCATTATCCATTGTATCTGCTAGGTATTGCTACAGTTTGCCCCAGCAGCAGAGATGTTGCACAACCACCCAGGGCTATTCTGTTTAGGCTGAATGCCATCTTTTCTGGGCAAGTGTACAGATCGTGTCTTGAACTGTGCCAGACACACTGTTTGTGGTTCATTTTCTGCTTGTGAGCCTGGCTGAACAAAAAAGGCTGTATGTATATGTACCAGTAGTGCTCATGTTACATACAATCTGACACCCAGTAGATGGTCTTTGGGGATTAATGAGGCACCCACTGCTGTACAGCGTGTTTTGGCAATAAGGAGGGCTGGTGAATCCCATGCCTGTCTTTCTTGTGTGTCCTTGGGTTTCTTTTTGGCACATACATGCAACGAAGTACAAGATGCAAATACTGCCAAAGCTTCTAGTAGAAGAGATGACATTTATATTGTTATACAGTTTGCTGATCTAAACATACCATTGCCTTGCCTTGATAGCCCAGGGCAAGCGCTAATCAGCTTTTTCATGGGCACCATGCCATCTGAAAGGGTGAACACAAATAGAGACAGTATGTGCATCATCTAGGAGTGCTGCAAGAACACGATTCCCAGCTGAGAGGATCCAAATGTGTCTGTCTCCTGCGCTTGCATGTTGGCATGAAAGAGAAAAGTGACAGCGTTAAATATAATGTATTTGGAATAAATCAAGGTTATATTCCTTAGCTGCTTCAAGCAAGTTTTCGTTATATAGGTCACACTGTCAACTGATGTAAATTGGCATAGCTTCACTTTAGGCACTGGCGTTGATGGATTTTGATGTGCTGAACATCTGGCCCCGTGTGATTGCACTCCTTCCGTGCATGGAGCTCTGCTACAGGTAGAAAGAAGCCTAAGCAGAGGTTCTGTTCGTATTTTCCTCTCTGGGACATCATCAGAGGTCTAAAAGGCGACAGAAGATGAGTTTGGGCTCTGATGTTGTATTTGCAGCTCTGTCACTAGTACTCGATGCCGGGCAGTTTGCCCTCTTAGTACTGGCATGCCTTGCTTTACCTAGAGTCTGTATCAGTACTTTTATTTAATTAGTACCTAACTACCAAGGGCATTAATTAAGATCAGAGCTGTAACGAAGGAAATTCTGCTTTGATGTCACAGGAGAACAATAACAGAACAGGGAGAACAGTTTATAGTTGAAATGGATTCTTAAGCTGAGTCACATTTCTAGCGGAGTGTGAGCTGAAGTCTGCTAATGATTTTGTTTTCAAATCTTCAAACTTCACTTGGCTTTGGGTCCAAGATGTTTTTATTTGTAAACAAACCATGTGTTTTCTCAGAGATAAGAGGATGCTTTGGAGTTCTTGTTGTTCCTTACTGATTTACCTTAGACAATCCTCTCCCTTCTGTAAAACCAGGAGTACTGTTAGTGATCCCCTACCTGCCTCAGTTATTGTTGAAATTAAGTGATGAATATTTGTACAGTGTTCTGCACCATATTTGTATAAAGGTTCTGTAAGACAAGGCTGCACTGCTGGCACTGCAGGAGCTGCATCTCTCACGGATGGGATTTGGGAGTTAATCGACTTTGGCACAACTCAGACTTTTGCTGTTGCAGCTTTTTTTTCTTTTCTTCTTTTTTATTTATTTCTTACATTTTAATTCAGAATACAGACCAGCTGTTTGAGAGCTGTTAGCTGTAGCTCTGTCAGCCCCATCGTTCAGTGTTACAGCACAAAGTACCCGTGTAAGAGATTCAGTGCTATTTAGAAAGTGTTGGTAAGCAACTAAATGTAATATTTTGTCCCACATAGGTGAACGTTGGCTGAGAGAGAAGGAATAAAGCAGTGAGTTTTACAGCAACCCAGCACAGAAGGCATGTATGTTTATTTTCCCTAATTCTGTTTAAGTGTCTTTAATTCCTACATTGTGATCATTTGATTGTTTTTAAAGGAGGGCTGTGGAATCACAGCTTCAAAATAGAAGAGATTGAGAGCGACGTGCACATGAGTCTGGTCACAAACAATGAAAGTAGAAGTTTGAGCACGGAGTTGTGCTCAGTCAGCACTGTCAGCATTAAGAGAGTGAATCTGAAAGTTGGCACTTGGTCTTGTTGAACCTCCTACAGCTGGCCTCAGCCCAACCATGCAGCCTGTCTGCATCCCTGCATCAGGCCTTCCTTCCCCCAGGCACGTCAGAGCTTCCTCCCAACTTGGTGTGCAGTACTTCCTCCCAGCAAGGCATTATCTGCAAAATTACTGAGGGTGGAATGTGCTGTACCAATGTTACCTGCATTCTCCAGGCCTGGACTCACTGCTCTGTTTAGGCAGATATCAAACGTTCAGCATGTGAGCAGTGCTGAATTCTGCAGCAGTCAACGGCTCAGGAAAATGTGGAGATCACATCTAATTCCACTACTGAGTGTGAATTTCCTTCTCTTTCAGGATCTGTCAGCACTGGTGAAGTCCTTTCTCTGAACCAGACAACAGAAGCTGCTTTCCTAGTTCATGGTTGCTCCTTTCCACTGGCAAAACAACCTCAGGGGATCTGCTTTCAGGTGAGATATTCAGCATTCAGTCAATGGAAGTGATTTCTTTTTTTTTTTTCCTCCCCTCTGTTGGAAGACCTTTGCTAATTGTGATCTGAAGTGATAATTAAGAGCTAGAAAACCTTTTAGCCTGTTGCTAGGCTCACAGATCCATTGCTTCTGCATAGTTGATTTTTTCCCCGTTTCTATTCTTTGAATTCTTATTCTTTCAGTTAGCTCCTGCCACATCTTGTGCCTCGTTACAGCTAAAATTGAGCTCACCTGTGAATTTCACACTAAATCTGAAGGCAATACTGTGTCAGAGGGGAGTTTTGGTGGGGTGCTGGTGCTTGTGCAGGTTACAGACAGAAAATGAAGAGCAGCAGGTTAGGTTCAGTATTGAAGAATAGCATCATGTAGAGGTAACACAAAGAACTAATCAGAAGCAGGAACAGAAAAAGGACTTATCTTCTGGAAGAAAGAAAGTCAGGTAGAATGAAAGGCAAACCTGAAAGCAGTGAATCTGTTTTACATCAGTGAAGGCAGAGGAGTGCCACCTGGGATTAGCTTGGCCATCAGCAGTGCTCCGTGCTGCAGATAACACAAATTCCATAGCAACAAATTTTTAGCTTGAAATCCCTGGCTGCAAGGGTGCACACTGACTAGAAAATGGGCTCATGTTTCACTGAAATCATTAAAAACTCACTTTCTTTAATTTTTTACCCACCATCCTGCTCAGAAAACTGACTTATTTTTGAAGCCCTTAATTAAGCATGAAAATCTAGCCTTAGGGAGATGCTGTCATTTTCTTCCTACCCCTTCAGCAAAAGCCCCAGTGTAACGTGTTGCATTGGGCTCTGAAGTTGTAGGATGGGTTGCTGGTGATGAGCAGCAACCAAACCTGCAGCACATGCCCAAGGACTTGCAGTCAGATGAGTCACATGTAGTATGGGCCAAGTTTAATCCCAGAGAGAATGTTACAACACAGGAAGAAAGCCCTGAAAATAACAAGAACTGGTACAGTATTTGGACCGTAAACACAAGTTAGAACAGTCTGGGTATTTGCTCTAATCCTCTCTGATTCTATTTTGAATTGCAATGTTCCTATTTGCTAAACCACTTTCTGTTTTTACACTTTTTTACTATGACATAAGGAGGAGGGATATTTTGGAAACTGGAAAACTGCCTCTTGCACCAGAATGGCATGCTACTAATTTCTGCAGGTTTGTTGAACTGAGCATTGCCACTCTGTAGGCTCTGTCAGCCTCCTCTAGAATTCCCCATAGAGATCCCCACCCTCCTACAAGGCAGGCCATGCCCCAGATGAGAGCAGTTCTGTTTGCAAGCTCTCACCTGCTTCAACTTATGTCCTTGGAAATGATGCTCTGAGTATTTGAGAGTGGAAGGGGTTGGTGTACTGATGGTTCCTCTAAGAGCAGCAACAACTGAGTGGGCCCAAACGTGCCCAAAAGACGATGAGTGCATCCTTAATGTAGCCAGGATTAAACATTAATGTGCATTTTTTATTTTTATTTTTTTAGTTTTATCATTTCACCTGAGCAGAAATTTGGGAAAGTGGTTTAATGTCAGCTAGTGTGTTTTAATGGAGGCCTGGAAGAAGAAGCAAAAACCTTCCTGTGTCCACTTGTTTCTTAGGTACACCGCATTGCCCACAGCCAGCCTCGCCACTCCCAGAGAGAGTTTGTGTAAGTCCTAAAATAATTCCATTCCTCTGTCCCACAAATATTCCCATTCGGTCAGCTTTATATAGAGTAATTACTGTTTAACATGGCGGTGCAGCTGGGTCAGGGCTTATTTTGGGGTATGAGATATAAAAAGCTGTTTGTAAAAAAGAAGAAAGTGGAGGAGACCATGTTTGTCAATCTGTCACTCAAAACAAATGAGCCTGGAAACTTGTTAGCTGACTTATTTTGAAGAGGTGGCATTCATGAGAGCCACTGGCATTGGTACCAAAGGCACTCTGGGCTTACGTAGCACTTCAGTTATAGAAATATAATTGTTGGAAACAACATTCCATTCCTACATAATGGAGAGGTAGCCAGGTTTTGTGGTGGCACGTGTTGAGGGAAGGGCATAAAGCTGTGACCAATGGACACGTGGGAAGCTCAGGCGTTTTGTGGGCAGGTGCGACTGCTGGAGAAAGGCATCTTGAAGGAAGTGCTTTGGCTCCTTGCTCTCATTCGAGCAGATCTTTGCATTTTCTGTGCCTGAAGCACTGTGCACAGAGCAGGCAGCTCATTCCCACAGCTGTGCTGTGGTGTAATTAGCTCTGTTTTACAGCTGGGGAAACCAAGGCAGTGAAAGTATTGAGTTGCTCCTGACGACCTGGTGAGTCATATCTTGGATCTTGGGTTTGGGCTCAGGATTTGCTGGCTCTTGTGCTTCTTTGCGTTTTTTCAGACCGTGCTGAGTCAAACTTCCTTCTGATTGTAGTAACTTTGATACAGAGGGACGTGTATTTAATATTCACACATGTATTTTATTTTTGTGCCTGTTGACTCCATGTGTGTGTAAACAACAACAGAAAGAAAACGTGACTATGTATATGCACGTGTCATTTCTTATCTGTTCCTAAAATACAGGTGTCTCTGGGGGAAACCAGTTCTGAAGGTGTTTATTGTACAATGGTTCAGGAAGTTGAGAGGATTATATTCTCTTCTGTGGTTTCCCATGCTGGGCAGCTCGTTTCACCTCAAAAATTAGCATCGTAGTCTGGTTCACAGAAGACCCCAATATTTTTAGTAGTCATAGGAAAGAATGTGGTCCACTGGGACGGAGCAGGAGGCTGTGGATCAGGACTCAGGGTTTGGTTGTCTTTTTCTACTTATTTTATGGCCTGGGACTGTTCTTATCACTCTTCTGTGCCTCTGTTTCATAGCAAAACAGGACTAGTAACATTGAGTTACCTTGCATAGAACAATTAAAAGTTGAAAATGATGTTTGGAGACCCTTTACTAGCCTTTGGCATCAGAGAAATAGAGCAGTTGCAAGATGTATTCTTGTGGTTTGGCTTTATTAATAACGTGAACTCCTTCTGATATTGTACCAATGAAATGAAGCTGGGAAACAAACCAGAAGCAGATAAAGACAGAAGTTGAAATCCTTCATGAACAGTTACACAACATACTAAGAAAGGATGGCTGTATTCTTGGATTGTAAAAATTCTGAAGTGCATACAGAAAATAGTTTTTCTTTGAAACAAAAATTAGAAGAACAGTGACATTCCAGGGTGCTTTGAAGTGAGACAAATCTGAAAAGAGAGGTGCTGGGAATTACGCAGACATTTCAAAATGAAAAGTTGAAAAATGAATTTGAACAAAACCTTTTGGCTCACAGCGGGTTTTCTTGACTCCTCCTCCTTTGCCAGCTATGCCAGACTGCTGGTAAATGGCAGCCTGAAAGCCTTGAGGTCCAAGTGGTGAGCCAGAAACAGACATACCATGAGCAGGACTGGGGTGTGAACAGCAGTGAGCTCCAGCTTTGTTTCCTTTGCCAGCAGTGCTGCGTGCGGCCACTGGGGCTGTGCAGAATGTCTCAGTATTGCTGTGGGACACAAACAGCAGAAGGTGTCTGAGCACTCTGTATCCCTGGGAAAGGCGTAGAGGCTTTATTTCCTTCCCTATGTTTGCTGTCTGCTCATCCATTAGGCTTATATCCAAATGTTTCTTATTGTTGCTCCCCTAGGCTGAGCCTGCTGCCTGGTGGGGGTGAAGAAATGCGCATCCATCCTTTTTTCTTGTTGCAGACTCACCAACAAGGCCATTCAGGACTGAATGCATTTCCAGGTAAGGGAGAACGCTTTCTACTTAGGTGGTGGAGGGCTCAATCAAAAGGGAACTGATCACCATAACAGTCAAAGCAACACAGGTTGGAATATGCCAGCTTCCCCTTTGTGCAGAGTATTTCCTACATGTTCCTGGTAGGAGTCTAATTGGTTCAGATAAATGCTGTTGCGTAGACACTAAGAGTAAGTAGAAAAGAAGTCTGATCCCAGGCTGTCAGGGACAGAATTTTTTTTCATTGTAGGATGCTTCTTGAATTAGTCCAGAAGAGCTCTCATTTTATTTAAGAGGTTTTTATTGATCTACAAGGCTTCGTTCATCGGTTCTGTCTTCTCGAGTGGCTGAAGCAGACTCAGCCTGCGATAGGAGTTCTTATTTGAGTTTGTTTTATCAGCTCAGTTGTTGCTAAATTTCATGCTTTTCTTCTCTGGAAAGAGGCACATGGTTTAGAGAGAGAAAAAAAGTGTACATTTCCTTCCAGCCCATTAACTTTCTTTCATGGAGCTCTGTACCAGTTTGAGTGCACAATTGGGAGGAATCAAAACACAGACATCTAGACTATTACATAAGATCAAAAAGAGAACAGAGTTGTTTTGAAGCTGAATGTAATGTATTTGTCCAAAGTCATGAACGTTTTTGAGAACTCAGTACATTCTTCCTGTTCTGCCTTAGGATGAAACTTAGACCATATCAGCTGGAGAGAGATCCCAAAATACTTGAAGCCAAATAGGTAATTGCAGACCTAATTCAAGGTCCTTACAGAGTGAGATCAAGTAGGGGTTTGAACCTGATCATTAGACGGGCTCTTTTCTCTTTCTTCCTTCTAACTTCAAGGTCCATCTTGTGTTGAAGAAACCGTCCCCATGGATGTCAGAAATATGAATGAATTCAGGTCAAAAACTTATTTTTTTTTTTTAACTGATCCAATGTATTTTGTCCAACTGCTCCCCCAGTAAAAAAAAAAATGGAAATTTCCAGAGAACATTTTCCTGTCTTGCCTCATAGTTGTATTATGTTGTAACAGTCTTAAGTTATAACTCTTCCTAAATGAACCTGCTTATTGTAAAGGACAAAAAGAACTGTGTATGTACATTGATTGTGCATATGTCCAACCACAGTGGATGGGTTTGCTGGGTTCCCCAGCCTCTTTTAGCTGTGTGTTCTTCTGTTAGGAGCAGGCTGGAAGCTGGACTGAGCTCCTTCTGCTGTCAGTCACTTGCGGTCCTGGACAGAAAAAGAAACACCAGTTTTCCTTCTGTAGTCCGGATACTGAGTCACCTGTGTGGCAAAAGAAAATAGCCAAAGGGCTGTTGTTCCCTGGTGTCCCAACGTGCCTGGGGATATTTGATCAGGGAATTTAAAGCTGGAAGGCTGGGGCTGTTCACTAGTTAACTTGGTGATGCACTTGATCTCCTGGTGTCTGAGGTTCCCATCCTTAATAAGTTGTTTTATTTTGTGGTTGGTTTTAAAGCCATTGGCAACATCTGGTTGTTTTACATGGGTGTTTCAGACATGTGCTGTCGGTTCAAGGCAGCATTACTTATAGTTGGAAACTGATTGCAACTCATCTGCCTCTTCTTGTTCCAGGCCTTGACCTGGGCTGTGGTGGGACTGGAAACCATCCCATGCTGCTGTGCTTTTCTGCCTAATAAAGTGTTTTTGTAGCTGCAAGATGAAGAAACCACTGTTCCCATGTCTCCCTGTCTGCAGGCCAGTGGTGACCAAGGCTGTGGAGGCTGACTTGTCACACATCATCCTGTATCTGGACAGGAAAGCTGCCCGTGGCTTTATGGATTGCTTCCATGCTGTGTGTCCACCCCAGAACGCTTCTGGAGGCCTTCAAACAAAGCATTTTCATACATTCCTGCAGGAGAGGGCATCACTTATGGCACTACAGGGAAGATCTCTCCCCTGCTATGCACCTTCTTGTTATTCTTGCAGCTCATTGCCCTGAGGGGCACCCAAGCTGAGAATACTAGTTCAGGCGGGCCACCAAAAAGTTTTCTGCATACATCTGGATTGGTGCTGGGGCAGGATGCTCGTGGTCTTTGATTCACACTGGCTTACCTTCTGTAGAGCAGGACTGGAGCATTCAGTGCTGCCTTTCCTTGGCAGCTCACTGCAGTGCTGCTTTGCTGTCCGTCTGCCATCTACGCTCACCTCTGCGAGCGCAGCTGATGCAGCTGATCTGTGCTTATCTGAATGCAGAGGCATAGCAGCAAGAGATTTCATGCAAATGTAGCATCGTGCAGCCCTGTTCCTTCTCGCAAACTATTGATTACGTGTCTGATTTGCTCTCCCCTGATAATAGGCCATAGGCAGAAGCCAATAGGGCGAGGAGGACGAAAACCTGTCATGATCATTCGATGCAGCTGGTGAGCCAATGGGAGGAGAACACCCGTGGATTGGGTTGGGAGAGAGTAAGGCTGGGGGAACGGTCTTAGCAACAGCAGAAAGCATCTCTTTCCCCCTCCCACTGTGCAACCATACTGGAAAGTTCCTGATGATGTTCCTTAATCTATTTGTCTTGCTCATGCCAAGTTTGTACGTGATTTGTTTGACTTTGACGTGCCTGCCAGTTTACCCCTTTCTCTCCTTTGGAGAGGATAGAAGGGCATCTTTTCTTTGTCTGTCCTACCGAAACCAACTAATGAGCTCAAGGTAAAGTGATCTCATGCTGGATTCATTGCCCATGCAAGCCCTGAGTAAGTGAGTGAGTTTTGTATTGTCTTTTTGTGGTTGGTATCTTCCTTTGACATCTTTTCAAGACAGCTAAAGCAGTGCAGGGCTGACACCTTGCCTAGCATGAGCTTCATGGTGTATCGTTGCACTGCAGGATAGGCAGCCTGTTGTGGTAGTGGGAGCTGGACTAACAGAGCTGTTGTGTTCTCAGCTCCGTTAAAGAATCCTTGTATAAAGTCAGGTGTATCCCTAGCCTTCAAATCCAGATTCCCTTACCAGGCTGCTGGGTTCTTTGGTCTGGCAATGAGAAGATAAGCTTTCTCTGTGGAGCCCTCCCTGTGATCTGTGGGCTGAGAGAAGTCAGTCTGCAGATCATGCTGCCTTACCTCTTATCTTTTATCTGCCTTACAGCAGGGACTGTTCTTTCTGTCTCTCTGCCTCTCTCATGGTCAATCCATCATTGGTTTAACCAACCGAAAATGAAAATGGCAGTTAAATTTGTCTAAACCTTCTGAACATTTATTGAAAGCCAAACATCGGCACTTTCAGCACTCCCTTGAAAATGACCTTCATTGTCCTCCTCTCACCTGCTGCCTCCTCTGGCTCATAAGCATTCACACTTCTATCTCACTATTTGCATGCTGGTAATAGACATAGATTTTGTTAGTCCTGCATCTGTCGAGACGGCGGGGACAATAATAGAAGCACCGTCGGGACCAATATATACTGGTCATAGGAGAGTGTCCAATGATGTCTGGGTCAGGGAGCCTTTAACTGCAGTGTCAGGGAATTTAGCCAGCTGTCATCGCTTCTTAATTAAAAATAGCTGAGACTCACTTACATTCCGTTGCTGTGTGTTAGCTCATTTGTCATCTTGTCCTTTGCTCTCCAGCAACACCCCAAAACACTCTCAAAAAGGAGAGAGTGAGTAGAAGTGCAGCAGGTAGGAGGGCTGCTGGATGGAGAGCAGATAACCTGTGCTGTGAGCTGCTCTTTGGGTCCTGTGGGAGTTCAACAGGATCCAAAGGGAACGGGGATACGCAGCATCACGGTGTGCGATGTACTCTGTGTGTATTTTGTGTATATGTATAAAATTAGCCTCTGTGCAAGCATGTGTCAGGGAATAAATCAAGCACTAACTGTCCTGAAGTTAGAACTTTCCTTGGGGACAAACCAGCTCATATTTTTTCCATCCTGGCTTTCCAGCACCTTCCTCTGGTGCATTACTCTGAAGGACAGAATGTTTTAACAGTACGATCCACTCAGACCTCTCCTATGTACATAAATGATTGGATTCCTTATTCCTTGCTAAATGGAATTTAGCAGTATCTGTGATTGCTATCACCTTCCAGTAAATTTCACTAATTTATTTGTGATATTCCTAGGGGGACAGGGAGATGGGAGGTTACACAGAGGTCCAGGAGCTGCAGAGGGAGATAGATAGCATGTTGTAATATCATTACTGAACGAAAATGTAATCCCCTCCCCCTGCCAAATAAAAAAGAGTATATTGTGATTGTAGTTAATGCTTGGAGCCGAGGGACAGTTTTGGCATCAGGAGAATTTTTCAGGCTTCCTTTTTACAAGTAAATCAGAGGTGGAAGGGCATTAGGCTGACTAACTTCCTGAACTGGAAGTTGCATCCGGACTACCATATTTAATTGTCTATGATTGACCTATCTTGCATGAGTTTTGCTAATCCATTTTTGAACTTGTTTATATATTTGGCCTCCACAGCATTGGGTGGTGATGAATCCCACCATTAAATCACATATTGTTTGAAAAAGTTCATCCAGGATGTCCTGTACAATGCTATCAATCTGTCTGGTGAGAAAATGGATGGCTGTTGCCAGGGGTTGAGATTCCCTCAGCCCCATGTTGGTGGTCAATGCCCAGCAGACCACTTCCATCCCTTGCACCAGACCTGCAGTGCTACAGCACCCATCTGGGGCTGCAAGGGAGCACTGTGAGCTCCTGCACAGGGTAGCTTCCGTGGTCCCACTGCTGAGCAGTGATTTTGCTGGCTGTACGGAGTCGTTGCTCTCAAGGCAGCGTTCCTGCCCACGTGAGTGAAGATCCAGTGATGCTTGTTGGTATTTTTGCTAATAGTGTTTGTTTCCTGTTCAGGGGAAATTCACATGCAGTTTGCGGGATGAACCCAGAGGTTCTCTTCAATCTGATCAGTTTTTCCTGAGTCCTTAGGGCAGTTTGTGGGAAGAAAGAGGGGAAGGCACCTGATTTGAGTTTGTATTGTTGAGGGATTTTGAGTTATCCTCAGTTATACTGATCCAGGGAACAAGAAACAACAGGTTCTGCTCATCTGAACCCTAAGTCACCAAGCTAAGGACAGACCTTCATGTTAAAGATGTTTTCAGAGTGCAGTATTTTTTTTTTTTAAACTAATTAAGCTCTGATGACTTCAGCTGTATTTTCAGCTTCTGATTAAGGCCATGATACTAATTAAACTCTTGAATTATTAAAAATGCAAATAGTCAAACCTGTGTGCAACAGCAGAATTGTGTTTCCATGCTCCAGGAGAGCAGTTGGGAGTATTTGGCAGAATCCCTTGTGGTGACAAATATTTCATCTCTTTTTTTTTCTTTCCTGTGGCTGCACTCCACTGGATGCAGAACAGAAAACATGAGCTGCTGGGGTAAATGTCTCAACTGCCTTGCAGCTAGGCAAGTAAGTTTGATTAAAATACAGCAAAGTTTTGGAAGGAACCTTGGGTCTCTTAACATCATGACTGTGGCATTTTCACTGAATGGGCAGCTGGGATTGAAATACCATGTAGTCCTTTGAGAGTGAGTCTGCTGCCAGCAGCAAAACTCTTGGAGCTGCATTTAGCCTGTGTACTTTGTTCTCAGAGTTCAGGAGCATGATAAATTATTTAGACCTCTAGATGTCCCGCCAGCCCCTATCTCTCTGGCTGTTCAGATGCATGCAGCTTTAGTTAGGCATCTATAGCAGGAGGTCTGGTTGTGCCCTTTCCTTCAATATAGGCACATATACTTTTTGTGGCACTGCTAAACAATGGGGATTCAGAAGGATGTTTTGATCTCCTTGCTGTCTGCATCTCATCGGGAATTAAGGACAGAGTAAGAGCCATCCCTGAGCACCAACACAGCTTTGTAATTGTGAGTAGGGCTCATTTCTTCTCCAGATGGATAGTGCAGACCTACAACCAGTGGGTCTTCAGGGTCAGTTAGCAGGACTTTGGGATAAGGTGGAGCTCTGCAGGCTGGGAGCTGGGTGAGTAAATACTGCCTGTGACTGGCTCCCCAGTGCTGCCCTGTGCCTAGGTTGTGAAAGCAATTTCTGTGTTTGCTGTAAAAGGTGTAACTCCAAAGCCTGTAGTGATACACTGGGCAATGTCCCTGTCTGTACCCTGGTCACTCTTGCAGCCCTGCTGGTAGAGGCAGTGGCCAGTGGGTCTTGGACACATCTGTCCCTTCCCACAGCCCTTTTGTGCTGCCATTAAGGAGGCTTGGCTAGAGCTGGCAGTATTTGCAGCTGGGATATTAGAGGGAAATGGCATAGGCAGTCTAGTTATAACCTGCCCAGAGGGAAGTTTCTTCTTAATGCCTATTTAGGTCATAATAAAGACATAAATTAAAAAAAGGTGTGCAAGACACTATTCAAATGCACCAAGTGCTTGTCACATTGAATAAACTGGGATCCTCACTGGTGTGAAGGTATTACTGTTTGTTGGAGCCACTTATCAGATAAAAATATGACCCAGTGTCTTCAATTGAGTCCAGTCAGTGTCAGGCATGATGGGGAAGCTATGTCATTTTTGCCTTCCCTTCTCGAATGTCCCTTTAGTATGTTAAAACAAAGAAATAAGTGGTCATTACTTTACCTATGACAGTTGACTTTTTTTCATCCTCCCGCTATAATGGGCTGCAGGTGTTTCACAGCCAGCCCAAGCTAATAAGGACAGACATTCTGGCTGCAAGCCAAAATTATAAAACTGTCCAGGGAGAGAAGAAAAGAAAAGACAAGGCACAGGGGGGGTGGGAAGGAAGGAAAAAGAAAGCACGGGAGTCACTCCATGCTGAGATTTTGTACTTTTGTGTCTCCTGAAGTGAATACATCAGTCAGGAATCAAAGGTTTGGAAAGTCATTCAGCCCCTCCAAATTAGAAGGCGAGCCATCTGCCTGCCAGGATGGAGCTGTCCTCAAAGGCTGTGGGCCAGGGCTAATCTCAGTGACGCTGGGGTAAGCCTGGAGCATCTCCTCCAGAGTTACAGGCAGCTCGCCTGGCATCCCCAACCCTGGCCTGGTGCATGCATCTTCCTGCCAGAAAAGCATTTTGGACCCAACCCTTTAATGTTGTATCACCATAGTGATGGACTACTCTGCTCCAGAGCAGATGAGGAATTGCTGTGGGGCTGTCCAGCGTTCATTGGTTCTTTTTAGGGAAAAGTTCAACTCGGTGGAGGCTACGAGTGCAAGGTGCAGCATGTTTGGAGCTCTGCAGCCTCTCGTCATCTTTGGTTTTAGCAGAGTGCTGCCATCGAGTCCCACGTGCCACAGGAAATCCCTTGTGTTTCCTGGAAGTCAGAGCAATGATGGAAAATCGATGGGAAGGAAAGATGCTCTGTGTGAGAACTGATGATCCACATGCGTCCTTACAGCTTTGCAGATAATGCTATTTGGAAAGCTTGGGCTGTGATGCGAGATCCCTAAGGTGCTCCATTTTTGGGCAGAAGCCAAACAACTGCCAGGATAACGGCACAAAGGAAAGCTGGATCTGAGGCTGGCTTAGATCATTGGGCTTGAACTGCCCTAAGGCATTGTAGCTAATATGAGAGATTGGCATCTCCAAAGGTACCTCTGGCTGTTGATTGCATGAGTGCCTTGGGGATGTCTCTCACCTGAGGCACTTCAGGCAGGTTCCTAAAGGTAAGTGAGATGTGCCCAGGCCTAAGGGCATGTCCTTGGGGCAGAATAGATCCCAAAGCTAGTCCTGACACAGGGTCGCAGAGATGCTCTGATTCCAGAAACTGGACTGCCCATGTAAAATCTACATGGGTCTTCCTACATGCTGCTTGGTGTTTCTGGGTCTGGATTAGCTCTCACAGACAACCGGGGTGTCCCTGACCCTGTGGCACAGACCTACCCATGAGTCACATCCAGAATGATGGCAAAGGATGTTACTCACCTCACAGAATGTTTTGGGTCCCCGGAATCACAGAAATGGACACATCTGAGATAGATTTACTTCAGCGGGTTTAATATGACAGATCTCAACCACAAATTTCTTATCCAGATTTGTTTGGAGCCAGAATATGGTTCAGGCCAAGTGTTTTGCTTTGTTTGTTTATCTCGGATATGGTTTTGGATGCTTAGCAGGAAAAAAAATCAATGTTTATGATGTTCATTTCAGATCTCCTTTTGGCAGCTGGATGAGAAAGGAATGCCACCACAAAGGAGGGATCGCTGAGGCGAGGCTGAAGTTGTATTCAAAGGCAACAGCAGTGCTGTGCATTGCAGATGTCGTAGAATCACCACCGTGATCAGTCAGCCTCTTCCCTGGAGTGACTCTGAGTTCTGTGAGTAGCATCCTGAGGGCTGAATCTGGGCCTGCATACCAATGTGAAGGTGTTAAAAAAATGCTACAACTGCAGTTGGCTTGTTTCAGGAAGGAGTTACATAGCTGTAAGACTGACAAGGTTTTAAAAATGGTGTTAAGTCAAATGGTTTCTAGTAAGGAAATGGTTGATGAGAAGATGCTTCAGGAAGTGCTTTATAATAAGACAAGCTGGGTCAGCTTTGGATTTTCTGCTTTTTTGGATGGCTTTTAGTTTTTTGCCTTAACCCCAATGGGCACTTTGTGTGGAAAAAGATGTGAATTCTGACATTGTTTGCAAAGTACTGAGAATGCTATGAGATCTCTGAAAAATACAAATAACAGTAGCAGTGCAGGGAACAGCAGCTTATCAAATCCGTCTTAGAAATGGAGGAGTTCTTGTGCTGATTACTACCTTGAAGTATGCTGTGCTTTGATTTCTGTCTTTGGATGCTGGTAAGGTGAGATCTGGGGCAGTTCCTAAGAAACTGAATGCAATTTGGTTTCTTTGAAAGCTTTTCAAACGGGACCAGATCTGCAATTGGTGCAAGCCTGTGTCTTCAGTGGCTTCAGGAGAAGTTATGCCTTAGTCTGGTGGTCAGGATTTGAATCACACTCCTCAAAAGGTTTGGTTTCTTACAGTTCCCATAACCAGGACTCACTTCTATGATAGCTTCCTGGTGCTTTGATTGTTCCTTTGGTTAACTTCAGCACAGTTTATGCATATTCAGCTGCTGAGAAGACCAGGTGCCAGTGTAAACCATTCACACTTCATATTTGTGGCTTACTTGGACTCCAAAAACCTCTCAAGCGTGCAGCATTTTATAGTGCAAGTACTCCAGAGCTGTTCTCATTCTCTCACGCTGTGTGTGCAAGCTCTTAGTTGTAGATTTGCTGTAACATGAAGTACAAGATTACATGTCCTGGGTGACAGCCCTGTTCCACCAAGCATACCTTTGGGTCAGTGGAGAGAAATAAGGAGCAGGAGGCAACTCAGACTCCTGGCAGATTGAATATTGCTCTGAGAGAACCCCTCTCTCCCAGTGATGACAGAGAGGGTCCAGGGCCCAGCAGAAAAGGGACAGATTCAGGGCATTCCTGCAGGGTATTGAACATGCTGTAGAGCAAGGTGCCAGGGCTCTGTATTGGGGGGTGCTGCTTTGGGAGCTTAGTAGCAGCAACAGGAGGTCCTGTACAGAGATCAGAATTGTGTATGCACAAAGCTGGATGACTTCACCCCTCCTCGTGCTTGGTGTATCCATGTTAGTAGCACAGAGGCCGATGGTGTGGGCTGAATCACCTTTGGAAACACTGCTGATTCTCTGCGGGGTCCAAGAGAGTTAGACTCCTAACAAAGGGCTCAGGTAATTGCCTGTATCTCATCGGGGTGAATGGAAGGCAAAGTGAGAAATATCTTCCTGTGATGTCACACGTTGCATTGAGACAAAGCATGGCCAAAGGAAATCAATGGGGAGAGCACCAGGGTCTCTTGGAATGATCTGTGGAGGATCGGCTTTGCAGTCTGCCAGCTGTTGAATGCTCCTGTGTAGTTTGCAAGCAGGGGTAAAGATTTTTTTTGAAGAGTTGAAGGAGGGCATGGCAGGGCTTCGAATATTTCTGTCAAGGTTTTGCTTTGCTTTGAGGCAGTACCAGTAGTCCGGATTCCCTGGGAGCAATGCGTGCCATGCCAGCAGGTGCTCTGCCCATCCATGTGCTGCCAGCTTTCATCCTGCTGCTCTCCCCGTTTCCACTATTTCATCTTTGCATGTGCCACTGTTTTGAATCCCCTTGCCTCGTCCCCAGCCCATGGTGAATATTCAGAAACTTGGTCTCATTTACTGCTTGTCCGGGTGCCAGAAATTCAAGTCCAAGGCGCTGGGGCTGCCTCTGTGCTGGGAGGACTCCCTCTCGTGGGCTCCACTGCCTGGACCTGGCCCTGAGCTCGGAGCTCAGCAACCCCTAACAGGTCCCCTTGCTTTCTCTCCAAGAACATGATTAGAGGTTTGAAACTGAGCAGACAGCTGGTATACTCTCCCAGGGCAGCCTCTGTGTCTGGGCCTCCATTGTTTTTGTCCAAATCGTATCTGATTGCTTTCCAAGAGCGTTCCAGTCCGTAAAACCAGACCAGGTGCCTTTGGTTGTACTAATTCCTGAAATACCAGCTACGAACAAAAGCATTTTGGTTTGGTCTTAGAAAGGGTATAAAATTAATTTCAATCTGGAATGTTTTTTTTTCCTCATTTAAAACACTAGAATTTTGTCTTACACTTTCCAGACACAAAACTGACCTTTTTCTAATTCCTCCTTTGGTCTTTTACCTATTTTACTGTATTACCTTTTACTAGATCATCAAAATTGCTTTCTGCCATACCGTTTTCTGAAATCTGACCTCTACATACATTCTTTGCACCTTGACCTTGGCTTTTTTACACGGTGTAAAACTAGAAGGAAGAAAGATGCTAGATTTTACAGCGATGTGCTTTCCCGTTCTGCTCAGTAATTTGCCAGAAATGAGGAAAAAAAACCACCACAAACCCACCCAAACAACAGAAAATCTTACCTTACCATCCAAAATTGGTGGGAGGGCTTAAAAGCTCGAGTGGGCTCTCAGCCTTGGTTTAGTTCTCCCTGCCTTTAACTGCCAAGCTGAGTGCTTTGTCCTCCAGATCGCCCTTCGTCTGCACAGCAGGAGCAGTGCTGCTGGCACCGGGGTGCGGAGGGCTCTGCCAAGAAGATGGGCCCTGGTTACGGAGCAGAGATCTGCCAACCTTCTGTGCTGGGGAGTTTGCAAACTTCCACAGCGCATCTGTTTCATTTCAGACCATGGGCTGCACTGAATGGTCCTTTTGTGTGCTCTGTCTCCAGCTACTAAAGCTGGCTCTGAAAACGCCAGCGATAAATATGACAGCTTCTGTTACCGGGTATCCCCTGGATCCTGTGGCCTGACCCGCGGTCATTCTTTGCGAGTAGTAACATTTATATTGCTGTGTCAGCCTCGTTTCTTATCATGTAACCAGAGATGGGCTTGGATGAGCATGGAAGGCTTTTCTGTACCTCTGCATTCAGGGTCATTTGGAGGTCCGCAGATGGAACGGGCACTTTGCCACTGAACTATTTACCACAACAAATGCCGTGATGTTCTGTGCATCGTTCAAGGAGAAAATGATGCTGCTCAAAATGGCAGGGGAGCGCTGCAAGGGAAGGCTGAACGGCACAACTGCAGATGGGCAAGGCTGCCTACCTGCAGCACGTGCTGCTACAGCAGGTTTTGGAGAGCTTTCCCATGGGGCAGTGCCTTGACGTCCCAGCAAAGCAGTGCAAGGAGGAGAGCCGTCTCACTGCGCCTCTGAGCAATGAGCTCTGAATCACAGTTTCCATCAGTTGAGCTGATCTCCAAAGAGTGGTTTTGGAAAATGTGACCCGCTTCATTTCTGTTTAAACATAGGCACCAGAAAGAAGCGTGCACACCTCTGGTCCTTCAGTCGCTGGACTGTCACCAGTGTGAGACATCACCCAGTGGGAGTCACTGGAAACCCAGCTCTCCCCGTGCTGTCTCTGGACAGTGTTTGACTAGACTGCTTTTATCTCTCCAGCCTGTCTGTGGGAGTTGAATCTTTGTACAGAGCCTGCATTGCTTGGCATCTAATCTGCACTAGTTGACTCAGTCAGCCTCAGAAGGCAAGGGGGGAGGGAGATAAGTAGGAGGAAAAAAGGTGGGAGTGGAAAATAACATATTTGAGGGGACAGCAGGAAGTCTGGGCTCATTCGCATCTTGGGAATTGCTCAGGACATGACCAAGTGAGTGTTTCCTGATTCTCTTCTTTTTTTCCTTCCCTGTGGGCCAGGAAGAACGGATGCCTGTAGGCACTACTGGGAGAATCCCAACATGGGAGAATGGGTGATGCCCTTAGAGAATGTCACTGGAAAACCAAGTGTCCCAGGTGGAGGTAATCTTGACCCACCGAAACAGCTCAGCTACAGTGATTGTCTGCATGTTGTTTTCTGGGGTATTTGGATTTCCCTTGAAGATCACCTGTTCTGTGTTTATGTCTCAACAGCTCTCTGAATTGAGGATAATTTAATATATATTTGCCTGCTGTTGTTTGTTGTTTTTATTATTCTGAAGGAAGGCTATCCAGGTAGGGACTAATTAAGGTTCACTGGTGATGTAAAGAAAACAGGAATGATTTCTATAAGATAAAAAACGTTGCTGGTTTTGGATCAGAGGGCTGGGGATTGTTTCAGGCCTGCAGGACATCTGAGAAGAGATGCTGTTGCGCAGGTGGAGCTGTAAAGCAGGGCAGGAAGCGAGGTGTGGAGCTGCATGTCTTTTCAAGTATTTCAGGACACCTCAACACAAAGGTTGCCATGTGAATGTCAGGTTCTGTACCCGTTATTATGAAAGTTGTGGACCTGCTCATGCTTTTAAAGATCACTGATCTCACTTTCTCTAAGCAGGCAGAGCTGGGATCGCAGCGTGCTCCTCGCATGTTCCGTGTAGTTCAAGGACTGATTAGGTCTTTTCTTTGTCTGCCCTAATTAAATCAATAAATGGCCCCTGGAGTCACCTGTGTAGCAGGTTACAAGTTGAGCTGCTGGAGGTCACTGCAGAGGGCATCCCGGCTGCCTTTGAAAAACAAAAGGGTTTTGATCCAGAATAGTCACGATGTCCCAGTTTCCTGGTCCCTTGGGCCAGCTCGTTCCTAGAGCAGGGCTGTGAAAGCAGAAAGAAAAGAGCTGAAGAGAATTGTTTCTCTCAGGGATGAGCTAAGAAATCTGGTATTTCTGTTGTCTCACATTTTACACTGTTTACTCCAACTGTCACCTGTTTTGTTTCTAGAGGCTTTTCTCATTAGTGTGTTAGCAGTGCTGTGATGGTTAGGTGAGCGGATTATGTGGCGGTGTTGCACTGTGATTTTGTTTCCAGCTATACTGTAGCAACTCCTGGATGTGCAGGCATTGGAATGAACTGTACTGTGTAGG